TGTCTCACTACCACCACCACTTCTCTCTCTCTCTCTTCTGTACTTGTGTGTTGCTTTGATTAGTGCTGTGCAGTGCAGTGCAGTGTAATTTACAAGAGCGCGGCTGTGAAGAGAAGATTTTATGTGTAATATCTCGAGTTTGTAATTCAGCGAGACCGTTATGGCTCCTGTGTTTTAATTGCGTTATCAGGAGACGACTAATGTGCAACACTGAATTATAAAGTGTACAAACAGCGATAGCGCTATAATTACATGTAATTGCTGGTGGTGTGTATATAAGAAGTAAATAAACTCGTTCATCCAATCCAGAACCCGCGTTATTAGTCACTAATACACAACACAGTATTATAGGGGGGCACGCGGTAGCGTAGGTGCTGAGGCACTATGTTACAAGCCTGAAGATCGCGGGTTCGATTCCCGATGTCACTGAATTTTTCAACTGACCGAATCCTTCCAGCCACAGTGTGTCCCTCGGGTCGACTAAGCCTCTAACAGAAATGAGTACCAGGAATCTTCATGGGTGCAAAGGACGACCGGCGCGTAAGGCTGACAACCTGAACGCCATCTGTGAGCAGTCTAGAAAATGTGGGAGCCTCGACGTCTCACAACCCTATGGGCCCCCACGGCCTGTTACAGGGACAGTTTTTTTTTCTGTATATTACAGGATTCCAGAATCCAATTGAATCCTTGGAAAACAATGCGCTCGCATGTCGGCCCTTTTGTGCACACCTTCCTTCCGCCTCGATGTGATGTGTATCAGTACAGGGAGCGGAAGCAACGTCACAACACAGCGACAGCTCACTTGCTACCCACTTCAGTGTAGAAACTGTTCGTCTGGGGTAACGATCTATCAGCATATTGGATTCTTACTAACATCAACGGAAAGTCACGTTACATTAACGGTAAGTTGAAGGGAAATACATCTGAAATTCGAGGGGTGGAGCGGGGAGGCGTCGTATATTCTCCCATCTAAACAACATAACGACACAGTTTTAAGATTTCACTTATCAAGTAGATTATCGCAACGCGAAAGAAAAATTTCTTGTTTAATTCTGACACGCTAATTCCAGATCTGTACAGAAAACAAATCAGCATCGAGTCACAGTTTTGTGTACTGAACTTTCTTCGGAATTTGTCCACTTTCCATTCGAAGATATTGAAATGTCACATTACACGACTTGAAGAGAGACGAATTCCGAAGAGCTTTTTAAACACATGACCCCAAAAGACGAAAGAACATATGGTGACCACAGTAAATCCGGAGGGGCCAACGCACTCTTCAAAGAGGTCGGAACATACCAAGTACGGCCTAGGCCGCGCCATAGCTCAAGCGGTCACTGACTTCCCACAGCGGCGGCCCAGGTTCGGTCAAGTGGGATTTGTGGTGGACGAAGTAGCGCTCGGGCAGGTTTTCTCCGAGTACTTCGGTTTCCCCTGTCAATTTTCATATCACCAAATTCTCCATCATCATAATCACCCGGGGCAGGTACAATAGGCCGATCGGTAACCGAGGTGCCGAGTGGACGCAGCTGGACTCTACCCCCCACTATGCGAATTTAATTTTTTAATTAAGCACGGTCTAAAGCGTGATGGTAATGAACTGTGAGCCAAAACAGCGTTATTTTATATGTTCATACTTCCTGTTAATATTCTTGCGAATTTTTACCGTCATGTTATAGCATAACGTTCGATGGGTGAATTAAATTTCCTCGTTTAAGTAATGTCATTGTTTCAAATTGCGTGATAAGCAGTACGCATTTTCCACACGCCTTGCAGACACAAAAAGCTGTCTCAGCGTACCCGATTAGGTCAAATAATGGCCTATTCGTATATGTTATCGAAACAAGTCAAAATATGTCGTGCAGTGTTATTTAACGATGCTTTTTCATCTCTACAGGTTACTACTGTGGGCTGACTACATTGTTTCGACACTGTATTTCGTAACATACAGCCTAGCGGTATGTCGTGCCGAAACATGTTCGAAATGTTAACAACGTAGTGTCTCTGGCCTTACGCGCCGGCCACCCTTTACCCCCAGGAAGATTCCTGGTACTCATTTCTGTTAGAGGCTGAGTCGACTCCAGGGCCATAGTGCGGCTGGAAGGATTAGGTAAATTGAAAAAATCCATCTCATCGGGATTCGATCCCACGACCTTCCGGCTTGTAGCATAGTACCTCAACCAACTACGCTATCGCGTGCCCTTATAATAATAATACTAATAATG